TGCTACCTGTGGGTAGTTTCTCAACAAGCTTTTTCAAGTGATTATATACTTGTGTACACATTTACTTGCTGTATTTATATTGTAATACAGTTGTAAATATTTTGAATAAATAGTTTACAAAAAAAAAAGAAAGTATATATTGCGTCTAAAATGTCTGTAGGTTTAATAGGTAAAAAATCCACATTTAAGAAGACAAAACACTTTTAAATCGAAACATTTATCATTTTTTAAAAAAAATGGTTTGTTCGAAGACTTTTTCACACCATTGTATATATTTTTTAATATTTGGAGGGATTCTGACTTTAAGCTCTGAAGTTGGAATACAGATTATTTTTTATGTCCTAAAAAGAAGATAAATTGTCTTTTGGGTTACAAGTTAAACGTTTTGGTTAACTCGTTCATACATACATATATATATATATATATATATATATATATATATATATATATATATATATATATATATATATATATATATATATATTCTATTCTATATATATATAAGTTGATATATATTTACTTTTTTTTTTTAAGATTCTAGATAAGGGACGGATGGAGCCGGCCATCGGTTGGCCCAGGGCCAGCCGGTACAGGACGTGCCTACGATCAGCCAATGCTCACATGCAACTCCATCGCTTATTTATTATGGACCTTTCTCGCTCGGCTAACCTTGCAACTTCTTAATACCCCACCTCGACTCTGCAAAACCTGGAGATTTTACTTTTAAAATTAAACTTACTAGTAAAATTTTATACAAGTTCAATGGCGCACTATTTTTCAATTCTGTTAAAGGTAATGAGTAAGAGAATCTGACACTAATATTACAACATTAGACACAAAAGATATAAAGGCCCTTTAATGTAAAAACTTCCAGCTAGTGGCTCCATCTGGTTGTTTAGACATAATTTTTTTGGAAAAGAATAATAATAATTAATAATGACAACTCTTGTTTATAATTTGACTCCAGGCCGCTAACGGATCCAGGATTTAATTTTTGGGGGAGAGCTTCAAATTTTTTTTCATAAATATGTAACTATAATTAATTTGGAAAAAAAAAAAAAAAGAAATTAACTACCTATATGAAATGGTGTTTCAGTGGTTCTTGAAGTCCTATTAAATGTAATTACACGAACAATAACACTTCAAGAGATAGTTTTTAATATCTTTTTCTGTAAAACATGGTTATATTTTACCATTTGGGGAGAGGGGAGGCTTTAACCCGAAAGTCCTCTCCCCCCTCGTAGATCTGCCTGAGCTCCAGGCAACTATACTTGCGGTTACTGCAGAATTGCAGATACTCTGCTTATCAATAAACATTGAGTCAGACTAAATCAGCACTCCAATGTGTTCCGGGCCAGTGCGGAATGAGGAGACCATACAACTAGCAAAGAAAGATCCAATTTGTTCATTTGGTCCAACCTCGTTGAGCTCTCATTATTTAATACTCCAAAGATATTACCAAATATATACTGGCTGACTACTAAAGGTAAGAATATTCTGGAATAGTTAACGGTAAGAGCAGACGACGCTGGCTAATGGCCCCATGTTGCAAAACAAACATTGCAAAATTGAAGGACTTTAACTTTACGGCAAATTATTTCTCACCCATCATATTCTTCTGAAGCGCCTTCGGATTATCACCTTTTTCGCAATCCCCAAAACTCATATGCCTCAACAAAGAGGCAGAAACATGAATACAGTCGATGGAATGAAAAGCGAGGTGTTGGATTTCTTTGATTCAAGACCAAAGAATTTTTTCAGAAAATGTATGCAAAATTTGGTTTCAAGATGGCAAACTGTTATAGAAGAAGATGGTAAATACATTTATATTGAACATATTTCATTGATTTTATCCAACCCCTTATATCCTGCAATTAAATACCGACATTACTTATGGGATTAGTATAGTGAGGTGGCTGTATCTTATTGCCTAACTATTAAATTGGAGGAATATTGTGCAGTGGGACAAGCTAACCACTTATTTAGTAAATTTAGTAGTTCGTAGTATTGACCTTTCTTCCTTAATTATTTTCCCCTAACTTCTTGCCAATAGATCTAATTTAACAAAGAAACGCTCCTAATTTATATTATTTCGTTTGTTATTATTATTTGGATGTTTCAGAGATAGTCTCCTAATAATAAAGAAAACACAAAGGCGTCTAATAATAAAGAAAACACAACAAATTAAGAGAGTTTATTTGTTAAATTAGATCTACAGGCAAGGTTTGAGGAGACAATATTAAGTAAATTATTACTTGGATTATAACAACTGGTAACACAGGCGGATCTACGGGGGGGGACTTTCGGGCTGAAGCCCCCTCCCCCCTCCGCCAAAATGGTAAAATATAACTGTTTCACAGAAAAAAATATTAAAAACTATTTCTTAAAGTATTCTTGTTCGTGTAATTACATTTAATAGGACTTCAAGAACCACTTAAACACCATTTCATATATGTAGTTAATTTCTTCTATTTTTTTTTCTAATTAATTATTGTTATATGTATATGAAAAAAAATCTTTCGGGCTGAAGCACCAACCCCCAAAATCCGCCAGTGACTGGTAAAGTAAAAAAATTGATAATATTATACTCAATATACGAATAAACACGTTTGGCTGGATGCTGCTTATGAGCAAAATACATTAAGGAGAAAGCTATCGAATGAGGGAGTTCAAACCGGGTTATAATAGTAATACATTAATTTAAAAATAAAATAAATGTTTTGAAAAAAAAAATGTTTCTATTGCAGATAGATTAGATGCCAATCGGTGTTACGTCAATGAATAGCTAGATAAAATCAGTAATGGAAGATAATTAAGATACTGTGCTACATCTTAATGGACGACCACGTGAACACCAACACAGCGCCCACGCTTCTAATTGGCCATGGCATTGGAAAAATGAATTTTGTTATAAAATAATGATCATTTCATGTTATACAATAACATTTCTAGATAAACCGGGCAGAAATAACATTGCGATTCTGATGAATTAAAAATATTTTGATAGTACATAATAAACATTAGATGGTAACAATCTAAAGCGATTCACTTGATTTTACCATGACACATAAACTGTATTACATTATTTAAAATGAATGTTTGATTATTTCAATCGGGTAAACCAGAAATAATACCAGCGGACAATATTTAACAGTAGACGGTGGCTCATGAGTTTTGAATTTTTTTTTTCAAAGACCTTGAATTTATTTGTTATTTTTCAGGAGATATTACAAACAAGATTGGTATTTATTATCGATTCAAAATTCATAAATGACGTATCTATTTACATTTTACTTGCTAAGTATAATTTTATTAACATATCTTCATGTGAAGCTTTCCATCACGAGAAAACTATGCAAAATAAGCATGTTTTTAGGAAATAACATACGTTTAAAACATTGCCAACCATTAGTATAAATGTTCCTAATATAACGAAGGCTAATACAAGAAATATATCGTAGATTTACTGAAAAAAATAAAATAAAATAAACAGGATATTAGACAATTAAATCATTAAGTAATTTGATGGATTCTCTCTCTATCCAATCTATTTCTCTAACTATGAAATCCAAACTATTGACATATAGTAGAACTTATGTTATAAAGATGCACTTAATGAGTTTTGACAACGTAAATATAATAGAAATTAATAAATATGTACAAATTCAGTTTTGGAGAGAAAATTTTCTTTAAAAGTCATACATATGCCACTGTTATATCATAGTTCTCATTTAATTATATTTTCTATGTTCGAACACAGTAGTAAATTTCAATAAAAAATTAATAAATAAAATAAAAATGTTTAGTACACCTCAAAGATGTAACTAGTGATAATTTTACAATATACCGACAATAAAATAATAATAATTATGGCTGTACTTTATATAACTGTATATTTTGGTAGATTAAAATGCTGACAATTATTTGAATATTCTAAATCGTAATTATAATTCTTAACGTTTGAAACTTCACCTAAGCATTATACTGTGTCTATGTAAAATGAAAATTATTTTCATACAACAGTAGATAGTTTCAAACAGTGTGATCACAAGTATGTGTACATAACCATAAACACAATTACCTCAAGACAGTGAAGGAATTTTTTTTAATTCTTTCTATTTCTACCGCAGGTATCCTTTTTTCGTGATTAGTTTCTTTTGAAATGTTAAAATACTAAAATTCAACCTGCCGCTGTCAATCGGTTTTCAGAAATTTGTCGTTTATGTTTGTTACTATTTAATTCTATTTCAGAAGGAGGGGGAGAGTTGTCTCATCTTGCACTTTCCTGGCTAAATCTATGTACATACAATATACTTTAAGAATTTACTAAATAGAAACATAAAAAATTTATTATCTAACTGCAAATAAAATAAAAATGTAAGTTAAACCAAAATATAATAATATCTATGTATTGTGTGGTTTCATAAGTTTCATAAGAAGATAGCAAAGCCATAATAACAAACATAGAAATAATAAACTAAACATAATAAATCTAACGATTGTTAAAAGACAATTTTAATAAAACTAAAATTACAAAAGCCTCTTAAGAGAGATGGTATATTGCATTTGAAAAATATTAATTAAAGGATAAGACTTGTATGAATGAATTAATGAAATAAACCTATCGATCTCAATCAGAATAGGGGGGGTTCGGATTGCATAAGTCGTGCTAAAACTGGAAAAAACGATTTGATGGTATAATTTTTAAAAAATTGATATTTACTTGTGTATATGATAAATTATAATAATATTTAACAATGATATTTTATAGCATTCACATAAAATTAGTTTAAGAAATTAAAAAAAAAAAAAATCATACGCCTGTGATTTCCAAATTTGACCCGATTTTATTCAAAACGAATAAATAATAAAAGAAGTTAAATAATTCACATTAAAATTGACATTAAACATCTAGTTATGTAATCAAAAGATGGGAGCGAGAAATTAGAGATTGATTAGTGAGAGGTTACGTTGCTGTTAACCAGGCTGTGTTTATTTAAATGTTCAAAATGACAGATGGATCTGTGGATGATGAAGACTATTTGGAAGATGCACTCAACGAATTCCTTAATTACCCTAGAGAAGTACAGGAAGCTATAGAACAGGTGGTACCCAGCAATGACCCCTTAGATCAACCAGATTTTAATCCAGTAGATTATATTAATTCACTTTTTCCAACAGAACAGTCCCTTTCCAATTTAGATGATGTTGTCAATAAAATGGAAAACCAGATCAGAATGATTGATGAAGATATACGTTCTGTTGTAAGAGGACAAACTAATGTCGGACAAGATGGAAGAGCTGCCTTAAAGGAGGCTCAAATGGTTATTAGACATCTGTTTACTCAAATAACAGAAATTAAGTGTAAAGCAGAACAGTCAGAAGAAACAGTCCGGGAGATTACAAGAGACATAAAACAACTGGACTGTGCCAAAAGGAATCTAACAGCAGCAATCACGACTCTCAATCATCTACATATGCTAGTTGGTGGAGTTGAAACTTTGAAGACTTTGACAGCAAAAAGACAGTATGGAGAGATTGTAATGCCGCTTCAAGCAATAGTTGAAGTCATGAAGCACTTTGAAAATTATACAGATATACCTCAAATAAAGCAGCTGGCAGATCAAGTAAAAGAAATTCAAGCTTCCTTAGCAAGTCAGATAACATCTGATTTTCATGATGCATTCACTGGACCAAATAGTAAAACATTTGTTCCTAACAGACAATTAGCAGAAGCTTGCTTAGTGATTTCTATCCTTGATCCAAAGGTAAAAAAAGAGTTATTAAAATGGTTTGTTAGTATACAACTGAGTGAATATGGTATTTTGTTTCGTGAAAGTGAAGATAATTCATGGCTGGATAAACTAGATAAGCGTTATGCATGGTTTAAAAAACATTTATTACAGTGCGAAGATAAATTTGGTGCCATGTTTCCACCCAACTGGAATGTATCAGAGAGAATAACTGTAGAGTTTTGCAATATAACTAAATCAGAGCTAGCCAAAATAATGAGTAAACGCAAAAATGAAATTGATGTTAAGCTTTTACTTTTTGCAATCCAGAAAACTACTGCTTTTGAAAGCTTATTATCTAAAAGGTTTTCAGGAGTGACATTTAATGAGGAATCTGCTCATGCCAGCATTCAACAGACTAATATGAAGACTATTAGTGAGCAGTTTGAAATGGACAGTTCAAACTATACTAACGATGACAGTGAAAAGAAGTCAGGTGGAAAACCAACCATATCTTCACCATTTAATGGTATCATTAGCGAATGTTTTCAGCCTTATTTATATATTTACATAGACAGTTTGGATAGAAATCTCAATGAATTAATGGAAAGGTTTATTATTGAAGGGAAAGCTGATCTAAATAAGGGGCTAGGTGTTCCAGGGACCTCAGTAGGAGTGTTACCATCATGTGCTGATTTGTTTATTTTTTATAAGAAATGTTTAGTACAGTGCACTCAACTAAGCAATGGAAATCCAATGTTAGCATTAGCTACTACATTTCAGAAATATCTCCGTGAATATGCTTTTAAAGTTCTACAAAATAATTTACCTAAATTGGGCAGTGCCACTACTTCGCTAACTACAAGTGTAACAAATATTACAAGGGATTTAAGAGATCTTTCAACGGCTGCAGGATTGATTCAAAACTTTCTGAAAGAAGGGGACAGCACTCGTTTCAACAAACAAGAACAAGCAAGGATTTGTTGTATATTGACCACTGCTGAATATTGTTTAGACACAACACAGCAGTTAGAAAAAACTTTAAAGGAAAAAATTGACCCTTCTCTTTCAGAAAACATAAAGCTTTCACAGGAACAGGATATATTTCATTCTGTTATTTCAAACTGTATACATTTATTGGTTCAGGATTTGGAAATGGCCTGTGAACCTGCTCTTACGGCCATGACTAAAACACAGTGGCAAAGCGTGGAAACAGTTGGTGACCAAAGTCCTTATGTATGTGCTATAACTGGACACTTGAAAACTACAGTACCTGTAATTAGGGATAATTTAACATCCTCAAGGAAATATTTTACCCAATTTTGCATCAAATTTGCAAATTCCTTCATACCCAAATTTATTCAAAGTATATACAAATGTAAACCATTAAGTACTGCTGGTGCGGAGCAGTTATTACTAGATACACACATGTTAAAAACTGTTTTACTTGGGCTTCCTTTAATCGGTTCTCAGATAACTAGAGATGCTCCTCCTAGCTTCACGAAAGTAGTTATAAAAGGTATGACCCGTGCTGAAATGATATTGAAGGTCGTTATGAATCATACTGAACCTGATACTGCCTTTATCGATCAATTTCTAAAACTTCTACCTGAATCAGACATTCAAGAATTTCAAAAAGTTTTGGATATGAAAGGATTGAAGACAGCTGATAAAAGCCATCTGGTTAATATGTTTAGACAACGACAACCAGCCTCTGCCAATGTCCAGCCTGTTCTCGTCAGCCCTAAACATGATACTAGTAACATGAAAAAACTGAACACATTAATCAAAAAAAACTTTTAATGCGCTACCCGATTTACTGTACATACTAGGATATTTTAATTTAAAAGTTATTCTGATATTACAATATTTATCGTATGTGAAATTAATACCAACTTGAATAGATAAATAATTTGAAACCATGTAAAGAAAACAAATAAAATTAAGGATGGTCTTAATTTTACAGGAACAAAAAAAAATTAATGTATTTAATTAAAGATAAATCAATTGACTAATTATTGTTAATAAATCTTAGTGAAATAAAGTTGTAAATTATGATTATGGAAGATGTTGCAGTAATAGTTATAATTTGGTAAAATAAATCATTTAGAAAAATTGTTATTTTAAAAGGATTAATTGAAGTTGATAAACTGTGATTTGTATGAGTAGGTAAATATTTATTTTTGTTAAATTTATTATTAAATGGGCAATATTACATGATGTATTTAATTTTCGTCTCATTAATATGAGCATCACTTCTATTCAGTATTCTAAGAATATTTAAATTATATATATATATTAAATTAACTATAAGTCCATACTCATTTTTAAAGTAATTATTTATTTATTGTTTTCATATAATATTTTGTTGAAAAGTGAGTAGAACAGATAAACAAAAACATTCCTGGCTAAATATATTTATTCGTATAATTTGTTTTTTTCTTTTCGTATCCCATTATTAATTACCTTTTTAATCAACAAGTATTGTTAAAGCATGTTTACATTTGGTGTTACAAAAACAAAATTATTTTACCAGCTATTAATAATGGAATTCTTAAAATTAAACAAGAAATGCCTTAAGGACTCAGATAATATTAGTAGAATTATACAATAGAGAACTATTGTTTACTTAAGAAATGAAAGTAATCTATTGTTGGAAGTACAAGATGTGATTAATCTTTAAGAGAGTTCCTCAAATATTGATAAGGACATGGATATCTTTCAGGATTTTTGACATCCTTTGTGTCAATGGCCTTGAAAGCAAGTTTCTAATTATAGACCCAGTAACCTTTTGTGCTAATCAATTAACTCTTATTCCAAATAATCGATAGCCAATAACGATATTAAAGGAATAGCAAATGTAATTTGAAACATTTGGGAGAGATTAGAGAATTCAATCAAATTGGAAATAATTTACCTTATAAGGATTCGGAGTGTAATCACAAGGCGGCATTTCTGGAGCTTCGATTTCTGTTTGCACCATTGTCCTGCGAAAAATCTTCAGCGGACTTCCTGTTGAATCAGAATTAAATAATAATAAATTATCGATTATAAATAATGTAAATTAATGATCTATAGTAAAAATATGGTTTAATTTAATTTTTTATTTAAATCGTGGTTGGCAATTTAAAATTATAGATTTTTAAAGGAATATAAATACGTATTTATAAAACAAACGCGTGGAATATTATTAAATGCCTTCACATGATACAAGGATGCAATGTTTTATTTAGTAGTATGTAATATATATTATATTTTTTTTAAAGACGAACTATTAGGTTCTCGGTTAATATTTTTAAATGAATCGTTTAATTTTAGGATAATGAAATAGCTCCTACCTGTCAAATGAGCTTTCCTGAGCATTGTTACACAGCTAAAGCACCGCTTATATGTTGAATGAAGAGACAAAATGGTTTCAAACGACTACCACTACGATAAAAATGAGATTATAGCCCCGCTCAATTGACGCACCAAGACCAACAGTGCGGAGGGCTCTTGCCCGAATGCAATAAGAGCTCTGCAAGAAATTCATATAATGAAGAGCTTCCCGCTGGCGGGTCCTTGACTGGATCGAATCTGATTGGCCGGCTCTCAGCTGAGCTAGCCTCTCCTCCATATCATGGCTGAGGAAGATGGGGCTAACGGTAGGGATTTGAATTATTTCAGTAATAAAACAAAAGGGAAGGGTTCCGAGTCGAATGACAGTGGTGAGGAAAACGAAGAAGCCGCTATCGCCTTGGACATCGGTCTCGGCAACAATAATCAACCCAAAAGTAGGAATCTACCAGTGGAAGGGGCATACAATGCAGGTTATCAATTATATGTTTATAATACATTTCTTAGTCGGTAACAATAAAATGCTTATTTTTTCAATTATTGTACCACTAATTCTTCTTCTCTAAGTTGTATATTTTCCACGGTTATCCGAACTTTTATGGCAAAGGCTCAGAAAGTATTGACACCTCACAAATATCTGATAATAACAGTTTAGCTATTAATGGACTTGAATAAAAAAGCTCATTTATTGGAAGATCTTGAGAAATAGTAGTCACTACTGTCTTATTGAAAACATACGTAATATCTCCAAACATATACCTATCTTTTGCACCAACACATTTTAATTAATACTCTTAGGGAAAATTAAAAACAATTAGGGGAAAGAATTCACATACGTGTACCATATATATGTCAAATAAGTTAATGGATTTACCTACGACAGGTTAGATTATTTTTTAACTGAATTTCTTCACTGATTGTTTGTTTATATTAAGAACTCTTATTTTTTAAATTATCCACTTGTTTAATTGTCCAAACTTTGTATTTTATATCTACCTACTTACCCGTTAAAACTTGTCACTTGGTATTGCATATTCATAAAATATAGTGTATTTATTACATTTATATTACACATGATATGATAATTAAATAATCTTATTGGATCATATTCAGTGAATGTTTGAGTGTATTATACGTTGCTTTAAGTATTTGTGTTAATAAATTTAAATTATGAAGAAACGTGATTGACATTTTTGTTTTCAACTTAACCAAACAACACCAGATATACAAATTAAGAGGTATATTATAAATATGAGATGATATATAAGTTTTAATATCTTAACCTAAATGTTGACTTTCTTTATAATTCTGATTTTAAAGATTTGTTATATACTTCCAAGTAATTTTTTATTATTTATAAGCGACCTGATAAGGACAAAAGACCTCTTATAATTTTTATAAATTCATTGCTAGCTGATGTCTACTTCTTCAGATTCTGTTGTTATTTTTTGGTCATGAATTAGATATTGAAGGAGTTATTATAACAAAACAATGTTAGTTTAGTGATCATCCCTTTGAAATTTCATTAGAAAAAGTAAAAGGTTGGAAATGGAAATTCAAGAAAAATAGGTCAGTCTCTATTGTTATAATGTTGGGGTAAGCAAAAAGTATCAATAGAGCCACTTGCTGGACTCGTCTTGCCACATTAACCACTACCAGTACAGTATCTTATTGGTTTAGAGCTATTTGAATTAAATGTGAGACTAACATAGAAATCAGAAAGAATAAGTTATGTAAGTAGAATTTATTCTATCAAAGTGCTACTAATGTTTGTTTTGATCAAATAAAAATTGCTGAATCATCTATATTGTTGATAGTTCGTGTTTATTGTCCTTCAACTGTGTATTGACAAAATAACTTACAAGTTTTTATTTGTATCTATTTACTTAGATTTTTATTTTACGTCTTTTTTAAGAAGTGTCAAAGTGAGCAAATAATATTAATATGAAAAATGAATCAAAAAATTTAACTTCAAAAATATATTAGTTTTTGTAAAAATATAGCCTTTTTCATGTATAATTGTTCATATTTCCATTATTTTTATGTATACCATTTTATTTGTTCATATTCCCTGATATAATTTTACTATTCATTCTTTCTTTTTTCTATTATTCTTATTTTCTGTTTGTTATGGCTTAATGAAGCTTTTATTACATATTTGTGAATTTTTATCATATTTATCAATGCAAATTACTCATTAAGTGCACATTTTTTTATTTTTCAGAAGGAAAATTCATCTAAGTACTTTTTGATTTTATTTTCTAAAATATCACTTAATGACTTTTTGCAATGGACCAGTGATATTGCCTCACTTTCCTCACCCAAAATCATCTCCTTAATCTTGCAAATTATTATCTGTATCATTATGTAATTATTAACCAATTATTATTATTTTTTTTTTTTATAGCCTGTAGTGGCAGTGATACGATCAGGAGGGAGGAAAACCCATTTTCGTTAAAACACTTTTTGAGCCGTGAGTCACATGGTGGTGCTCGGCCTAAAGTTTACCCCACTCCTACACCTCCGCCTTCTCCCTCTCCGAGGTTGATGTCAGGGTCAGAAGTGACTTCTGGTCTTCCTGATTTCGTACAAGACCATCTGGTCATCGAGCAATGCTATCTGGGTCAGGGACTGGCTCAGCAGCATTTGTCTGTCGACTTGGATAGCATTTCTCAATTCGCTGGGTAAGCCAAACTTATTTGTCTTTTAAGTTTCTAAAAAAAAAAAAAAGGAATTAAATAAAAATGTTATAACATGGAATCCAAAATGTTTAGGAAGTCGAGCTACAACTGGTTTGGCCCCCATCCAGACTAACTTATTTTAAGTTTTTTGTTAAATATGAAACATTTTTTTATTATTATTTATAAAATGCAGTCTCAATCTTATATATGTTCTTAATCACTTGAATTCTATTGATGCTCAAATTTATATAATTTTTTAACGTGCAAGTCCTGAATTATACGTTTTGAACTTATAGAAAGTTATAACTAATATTTATAGGTGAAAGTAAGAGTGAAAATTCTTGTGATTTTAATATTGATGAGTCTTTATCTTATTATATTATTTAATAATGAATTATAATTAAGATTAAAAATTATTTGGTACTTGTGACTTGGTTGGTTGCCATGAAACCTTCCTTCTTAGCTCATGTGACCTCTTGTTATCTTTCTATTACTTGTGCATTATTGAATTGTTTTCAATTTTTTTTTCAATTTTATTATTTCTTGTTTAAAATGGATATGATAACACTTTTAGAATTACTGTATTCGGAAAAAGAAGCTGTTAAATACTTTCAGAAATTCAGGATAATTCTAAAGTTGAAATTCTGTGAAGGTGATAAAATGAGGAAAATAAAATCTAGAAAAGCAACAACTCTATTAGAATGTATTAAAAATAATATAGAAGTAAGAACCACTATATATTCTAATTGCTGGAAAGGATACAACACCTAACAATTAAATGAAGCAAACTACAACCATTTCTAGGTAAATCGCCGATATAACTTTGTCAATCCTTCGAGTGTGGTCCATACTCAACACATAAAACGATTATGAGGCTCAGCTAATTGGAGAAATGGTGAGGCAGCATGTGGATTCATATTTATGTGAATTTTATGTTATTATTACATTTCTTTTTGTCTATTTCAATTTCCATAAATATCAATACGAAGATGAGAAGTATTATCACTATCAAAATTATCAGTTTTAGGTTATAAACATTGATAGATAGCAGTCTGTCTGTGGCAACCGGCTAAATCACAGGTACCAATTACTCATTGGATTTTATGTAGGAAAGGGTCTTATCATTGAGGATTAAGTGTTGCTCAGTATATTTGACCCTTTTAGTGGAAAAAGGATTAAGTTTTGGTTTGCTGCTTTAATGAAACAGTATGGCTGAATCTCTTTATAACAATCTACCATGAGATATAATATTAATATGTTGGTTTATTCGTATTTTTCATCAATGCCAATTCTAGTGATATGAATATTCATTTAAGATATTACACACTTGAGTTGCAGGATTCCTTAAATTTTGATAACTATTTTAAAATTATGTTTTCTAGAAATAAAAGAATACTAAATCGTAATAAATTAATTTTTGTCTTTATTTATCACTTGTATGTTATGTCTAATTAATTCTTAATTTTCTTTATAATGCATAATTCATATAAATTATAAATGTTTTTATTTTTCAGATTTCCTGGTCACAACTACAGTCCTGGACAGGATCTTCCATTCGATTTGACATCTCGCCCTGATTTAGGGCAACAACCTGAAGTCGGAACGTCTAAAAGTCTTCCTGATTTTCTTTCTGATGGACCTATTAGAAATGAAAGAGGGCAGCCTTCTCCTCCTCCATCTATAAGCCCCGAAGGTCGTATCAGTCTGGTATGTGAAATTTATTAAATATATACAGAATAAATTTGATAAAAATAATTATCTGTAATGAAGCCTCATTGGTTTTCATTACACATATACTCTCTGATACAGTTAATGTGTAAGTAACTTTATTATTTACTAATTTTCCATTAGTCAAAGTGATCATCCATCATAATAATGATTGATCACTTCTCTTGTTCTCTATCTCAAGCCTAAATTCTTTCTTACAATATTCAAATGTTCAACATTTTCTTAACTTTGCTCGAATCAATAAAGAATATCCATTGCTCCTTTTTTGATTTGATCACCTAGGAACTAGTTTCTTTGACAGCAACAGTAACTGAAAACGTCACAAGTAGCAATTTAATTTTTTTGTGTTCCATTTTAAATAGTAAAAAAAAAATTAAATGACCCAAAATCTGAAATAGACAATCATTGCATTGAGGAAGGTTTGTATTACGTGTACTATACGTTTAGTTACCGTTTCTTCGTATGACAGTAGAATTAAACTTTATTCATTTTCGATTTATATGCTCATATCTTCTAGTTCATAAACATATAATTACTTATGTATATAAAAATGAATGTTCAATGAGAGTTCTTATATAATTAACTATTATTTTTTAACCTTACATATAAGCAGTGTGTGTGGTAGACTAGAGTTATAGCTCTGTTTTCTTATCTAAAACTTTCTTATTTTTGGAATTGTAGTTTGATTAGATATGTATTATTTTGCTTATGTGTTTTCAGCTACAAATTGAAAATGAAAGGCTGAAGAGAGCATTGGATGTTTTAAGAAGACAACTGAGTGATCAAATAGTGAGGTAAATATCTTTAAAAAAAAATTTTTTTATGAATCAAATTGATATTGCTTATTTTTTTTTTAAATGTGAGGTCTAAATTTAAATGTTGCTGAATGATTAAATGTATTGTATTCTCAAACAGTGGCCTCAGGTAATAATGGAATCTCCTGTTTAGCTGAGGACGGTAGAATTACACAGCAAATCATAACAGTTTTAATCGTCAAAAAATATAAAGCAAAGTATTTGTTTAGATGTTACCGAATGAATATTTACTTTGCAGTGTTGAGGATGTTTAGTACAAGCTTACAATATTGCCAAATTTATCCATCTGAGAAATGATTGCAATCAAATGATATCTTGCTTATAATAAGAAAATACCTATCTATTCTTAAGGTTGGTAAATGAAAGTTGTGTGATGTGCTCACCGCACCATGTTTTTAATTGAAGTTTTTTGTAACTCCAGATTTCTTAGAGATTATGACATAGTTTGATAAAATCTACATGAAATTTTCTTATGTGAAGAGTAATGTTTGTATTAAGATACCAAGTGACTTAGTTTTATAATACATATTTTTGAAAAATGACTCATTACTTGTCATTATTTTTAGATCTGAAACACTGGAAAACGAGTTAGGTTTATTGAAAGAAAGGGATCGGTCTGGTTTGGAAAGTTTAATCGAGCAATTAGAAGACAATTTGAGAAGAACTAGGGTTTGTATTTTTATTTTATATTATCACCTTCTGTTCTATTATTGTAATTTATGTTCTTTATTTATAATTAGATCATTCTAATTCACTCAGGTATTTATGTTGATTTGTTTTGTTTTACGTTTATGTAGGGCAGATGATAATTACATGCTTGACATTTTTATTAATTTAAGTATTATTTTTTAAAATATTAATAGCTACTTCTATAAAAAATAATACTTTAAAAAAAAAAATGAAAAGTCAGTAAATTCTCTACACTTGTTTTTCTTTTAACCTAAATTAAAATGTCCGAAATTCTTTTTAACTGCAAAAATTGATTTGATTATTCACAAGATATAACAGGAAAACCAAATGAAAAATATCAAAAAATTTTACACTTTCCTTTTAGCCTACCTCTAAACAAAAAGAAAATTGTACACACCTATGTAGTATTGATTTTAATTATGCAATTATAGCTATGCGATTACAATCATAAACACTATTGTGATTCACGTTGTTTGTTTTTATTTTATTTTAGTCATAATCATTTATTACAATTATTCCCACTTCTGCTCTGATTCCACATTAAAAGAGAATGGAAAAAAAAAATCGCAGTGTAATATTAAAGTTTCCTAATTGGTTAAGAGCATTAATTAAATCTAAAGGCAGATAACAAATTATTGTAATGTTTATACATCATTTTTGAAACTGTTTATATAACAGAATATTGTGATTTTAAAATGTTTTTTAGTGCTTGAGCTCAAAACATTTGTTTAACTAACATTTTTACAAAAAATAAATAGTTTTTAGTTGAAGATTTATTTATTGATTGCAAGTGTATTTTTCATTAGATATATGAGCCTTTAAGTTAACAGAATGACTAGCTCCAATTTCAACATTTTTGATTATTAATTTTAGTGATATTTCTAGTGCGAAATTTATACCTTTATTCACTATTCTATATTCCAATACTGCAATCATCTACTCTGGAATCAACTTACTCACTCTCTGTACAGATATTATAAATTTTCCAACTATAAATATCACTAAAATGACATTACTCAAAAATGTATATCCAAAATTGGATTTAAGTCATTCTGACAACTGAAAGGCTCATATATCTGTTAAAATCATTTTATAAAAACTTAAACTTACTTTAATTATAAAGGCAATGTATTTTTATGTCTTCCTCAGGCCATCTGTGAGTTAACAATTATGTGATAAAAAGATAAGTGGAGATCGGACCCTCTCTCATACTTTTGTATAGTAGTCTCAGGATTTTGACATGCTGATAAACCTCTATTTAAATTAAGATTTAAATTTGTTAATTAAGATTTTTTTTTTAAATAACAACTTATAAAAATCTAAATATTGCAAAAAATCACTAGTACAAAATTATACAAAGTTCTTAGTAACTTACACGCTTATGAAATGTTACTTAATAGCTTTGGTATAATGGTCTCAGGATATAGTGGTCTGACCCCAATACAAACAAGCTTATCAATCCAACAAACCTATTACAGTTTTTAGAGACTGCAGGAATAATGCTCTGATTAAGAGTGACATTAATAGAGGCGTACAACAGGCCTTCATGACTGCAGTGAACTTTGCCACATCCCAAAAAAAAAAATCAATAATAAAATATGTCAATGAGCGAGTTGTCAGTAATCTTTGCTTACCTTTCCAGAAAAGAGCTGATGATGCAGAAAACAGAGCTAGTAAATTAAAGGTAGAAAACAACGCCCTTAGGGTAAGTTGATATTTATGAATTTATTCTTGTATTTACTTATATTTTACCTTGACTAATCAATCATTTCTGAATTCCAGTGCGAACTTGAAACATTTAGAAGTGCGAGGGGCGGTCGAGGAGAAAGTGCTGCTTCTTCTTCTGCGCAACAGACTGATAATGAGCGGCTAGCAAGCCAGTTAAGGAATGCTGCTAATAACGCAGAACTTTCTTTAAGGTATAATTACATTTATAGATATTGCTTAGTATGAAGTTTGAAAATGAATTAATTAAAAAAAAATTCAGAGTGAATTGCCATTGGAGGACACATTTAAATAGGCATTAATAAAGTAGGCCGTTAAAAGTATTTATATTTCTGTTGGTATTTTTTACGTACTGTTATTTTCCAATTATTGTAATATATATAATTAGAACTCAAAATGAGAATGAGGTAACTCCAAAATAATAACGATAAGGGTACAATAATCTGTTTGCCCATTTATGCATGTATGTACCATTGGTTTTGTGATATTAATAATAAATAACTATTTTTTTTTTTTTTTTATGAGGCTAAAGGTTAGTACAAGTTTGTTATTCTCTTTACTATTCTAGAATCTATACATTCATGACTATTGCGCTCTTGGTAAACTGAGAGTTTATAGAAGTAATTCTGTTCTCTTCCTGCTTCCTGACTATTATTTAAATGCATCAAGTAAAAAAAAAATATATATATATATATATATATATGAGAAGGAATTAGTCGAGGGTGCGGTCAAAAAAAATAAAAAAATTAAAATATATAAATAATTTTAATTTTTGCCGACGTTTCGACCTACTTTGCAGGTCGTCTTCAGGGCGTTGGATGTGGCACTGCGGGAGGCGGTTGAAACACTGTTGAAGCACTGCCAGTGTTTCAACCGCCTCCCGCAGTGCCACATCCAACGCCCTGAAGACGACCTGCAAAGTAGGTCGAAACGTCGGCAAAAATTAAAATTATTTATATATTTTTATTTTTTTATTTTTTTTTACCGCACCCTCGACTAATTCCTTCTCATATCATATCAACGGTCAACCATCTCTACATCATTATATATATATATATATATATATATATATATATATACATAATATTATACAGAACGACTTCTAAAATTTTATCAGAATTTTAGTTACCTAACTACAAAAAAAGTTAGGTCCTTTCATTTCTCGAAACAAAAATAGTCAAAATGAAACTTCCCCTATTTCAGTGGCTACGTGGTTATAAATTAGAAAAATGAATTAAGGATTGTGCACTGTAAAACTTAATTCGTTGATCACAAATTCAAAACAGTTCATTGTAGAAGAAAATGCTGACCAATTATTAAAAAGTTTATGAACAGCCATAGCTACGACATTCTCAAAGAAATTTAAGTATGGCCAAATATAATGATCTCATAAACCTAAACCAATGGTCCATCTTGCAGTCCCAGATTGGATCAGATAGTGGTGTTCCTCACTCGGTATCTCCTTGTCTTACGTTTGACCCTACTGAGATAGCGCATCCCCATCATGTTCAAGACTCGCTAGAGTATTTGAGGATTGGAAGGAAGATTGTTACTTTCGTTGTTTTGGGAACCACTTTCCTTTCCAGACAACCTTTTCTAATGGCATTAATGCACCTTCCAGCTGCCTTAATCCTCTCTCTTATATCTCAGACCACCTAGCCATTCTCATTCAAGTGAGCTCCCAGGTATTTGAAGTCATTTACCAGTGCAATTCGTGCTCCATCAAGTGTTGCCAAGGACTACCAGGCCATCCTCATAGGCCAGCATAGTGAACCGAATAGGAAACAGTCTTCTGTGGGCAAAGTGAAAGGATCTCATTTTCTGTTGGGCTATTCTGAGTGCCCTTTCCAGTACCACAATAAAAAAGGAAGCTATTTCTAAAAGCGGACTCAGGGTCCAGCCTTGCCTGATTCCTCTAGTGGTTTAGAACTCTTTAGGTGCCATGTCACACATTTCTTATGTTTTTAAAAAGGGTTCTGATTACCTCCCTTAATCCCAAGTCCATCCCCTTCTCCCATGCGGTTTCCTCTATATCATGACCTATGATCCTGTCGAAGGCCTTAAATTGACAAAACAGGTAAGCACTTCCATTTCTTTCTTCAATGATCTCAGGATGAATTTAACATCTTGTTTGCTTCTGTTGGACCTGAATTGAATCCATACTGCTCCTCCGTTAACAAGGGCTCAGCAGTTCCTTTGAGTCTCTTTCCTAGAATCTTGGCATATATTTTTGATGGTATGCTCAGGAGAGAAATTCTTCTATAGTTCTGGCACTCCCTGTTGTCCCCCTTTTTGAAAGTTGGGATTATGATGGTGAATTCTCAATCTTTGAGAATTGTTTAATTCTTCCATACTAATTTATCAGATTTATTTCTTTGCCTTTGAAACCCATATTTTTCAGCATCTCAGGGAAAATTCTATCAATTCCTGCTGACTTGTCCGCTTTTAGTGTGGCCAGTGCCTTTGCAACTTCCTCTGTCTGGCTCTCCATTCAAGATGCTTCTTGAAGTATTCTACCCAGTGTTTTGTTACTTCTTTTTGGTTGGTGAGAATATTGCTGTTCTTGTCCTTGATGTGTTCAAATACAGGTTCTTTTTCTCTATTTCTGAGGATTTTATAGAAAAGTTTTTGGTTTTCTTGGAAGTTCTCTTTCATTTTCTTTCTATACTCCTTCCACGCCTTCCGCTTTGCCTGAATTACTGCTTCCAGGCAATCTTGTTCTGTAACATTCTCTTTCTACCATTCTGCTCTTTTTATCCTTTGTTCCACTCTAGACGTCCAACAAACTTTTTTGGTCGATTCCATGAGTATGGTTCATCCCCCTTCATGAAGTTTCTGTACATTCAGAGTCCCATTGATAATCCCCTCTGAGAGCAATTCTTCCACAGCTTTTCTTTATTCGACTGTAATATTGGGATCTTTTAGCTTGAAGTTATTGACGTTGTAGGCTGGTTTGGAATTATACATTTCATTTCAATAACTTAAGATTTAAAAATAAAAATGTATATTTTTAATTTGTTTGAATCTTTTTTATTATTTTTATAGGCACTTGTTGATCGGAGTTGATAATCTTAGAATATTGGCTGCAAGTATCGAAACGCAACCGCAGCAGCCTATAGGACTGAGAGTATCATCTAGTGAAGATAGCCAGGATGATGAGCCTGGTCCAGCTTTATAGGTAACCTTTTTATATTTTGTCAATTTTACAGGATTTTAAAGGTTAAGGATATGGTATGGTGGCCGAGCATATTTTGAGGTGCAACCTCCCTTCAAACCTGGTCTGTGGAATGGTTGTTTTTATTTTATCTCAGACCCAAGTAATAATATGTCAAATTTCTCATTTTTACAAAGTAGGTGTGTTACAGTTTAATTGTAAGTTGTTTTTTAAATGCAAATAAACAAATGTTTTTTATAACTAATTACAATGAATCAGTTTACTGCTGTGATTATAACAGTAGCTATCAACTTGTCTCTGCTCAATGCCTGAGATATGACACTTGTAATGGCTAACTTCAATGTTGTTAAACTTCATGTTGAGAACATGACTCCATTTTAGCGATATGATTCAGAAGTATAAAATTAATTAAAATAATAAAAAAATGATTAAGACATTTCTGGTTCACTTATATTTAAAACAAAGTCTTTCATTTTCGGGTCAAAGGGAAGAAGTGATAGATCAAACTAGTAAATTGGAATGATGTCAGATTGATAAATAAAAGTTTTACATTATTTTTTTTACAATATATTCATCAATAAACTTTACTTTGGTTTTTTTTTCTTAATATTATTTATTCTTGTCTCCAATGGTTATTAATCATTTTCAAGGAAAATATTATTATAATAGAAAATCATTCGGGCTTATCATTGCCTTCCTCTTTTTTGTTTTCGTTTACTTAAAACAAAATAAGTAAATGAAGCAAAAATGATCTAGACAAATTAGGCCAACTGATTATTAATTATAATAAGTTCTTGAAAATGGTCTAGTGGGCCAAAAAGTTGGAGATGAGATTAAAGAATGTTAAAAAAAAAGAATATTTAGTTAAATTAACAGGAATCAACTATAAATATAGTTACAAGAATCAAAATATAAATATATTTAGATTTTTAATAACACTTCAGAATTTGGTCCCAAAAGTTTCACAAAATGTGAGTACAGCTTCAATTTATTTTGTTAAATTTTTAAAATTTATTATCTTAGTTTCTTCTCACATATTTTCTTTATATATTTTTATATCTGATATTTTTTTCCCCCATAAAAATTATTATACCAAATCCAGTTTCAGTAGTTGAGGGAAAGAAAAATTGTCAACCATTTTCCGACTCATTTTATTCTTTAACATTCAAAATAATATCGAATGAAAATCATTAAAAAATAAGTTAGTTTCTTTTGAAAACAGGTAATAACAGCCCAAAAGATCAACAATAAAGAATGGTAAAAAAATAATATGAAGATCTTATTAATCCTTCATACAAAAATTTGCAATAAGTAGGTATAATTTTAAAAGTATTAAATTATTGCTGATTGTAAAAATTATTTTATATTAACTGTAATTTACTTATTTTATTTTTCAGTCTAAGATATTGAAGGTTACCATAAGTACGGAGGAACCTGAAGGCAGACTGATGTACAGAACGTGGGTGTTCAACGGAGGGAAGTGATTTTGACTAAAGCGAGTTCTCATTTAAGGTGCTGTCAAATGTATAAATTGTTTTACCTGGTAGAGAGTTTGCCTCTTACGTCTAGGATAACTCCTTTTAAACACCTCTATGTAATTTAGTTTGTAATTTATTTAAGATAATTTATTTCACTCGTGTAATAATATTTGTATATAGAATTTTGAAATAATAAACTGTGTTTCAAAGTATAATAGATAATTTATGTTTAAAAAAAAATCACTCTTCCCCTCCTCTACATCATCAAAACCCAATCATGAAAACGCATATAGAGAAGATTAAGAAGATTAGTTATTAAATGGTTAGTGGTTACAAAAGATCAGTATCATCAAGGAGCATTGCCATGGTACTTCTATCCATCAGACAAACACAATACTCTCTTGTTATTCTGGAGTTGATTTTTTTGCTCAAAGAAATTTTAAAAAAAATTTGCAACTAATTTAAAGACCATTATAATTAATATTAAATTGGATTTCTCTCTCAAATTTTATTATGAATAGCTATCACAAACCTCTATTTATAAAGATTTGAATTAAATAAAAAATAGTTTATTAATGTTGTTTGGAAAAAGAAAGTTATCATCCCAAAGGACTGGGAAGTCTCCATCATAATCCCAATTTTCAAAAAAGGAGATAAACATGAATGTCAGAACCATCGAGGCATATCCCTACTCAGCATCCCCTACAAAGTTTATTCCAAGGTGCTCGAAAAGCAGCTGAGGGGCCTCATAGAACAAAAGATAGGGGAAGAACAATATGGATTCCGGCCTAACAGGAGTACACAGGATCTAATATTCACGATGAGACAAATATCCGAGAAGATTGTGGAGAAGAGCAGAGAGGTCTTCGCTTGTTTTTTTAGACCTAAATAAAGCATTTGACAGGATGCAGAAAGCAGACTTATCAAGAGCATTGGAAGAATATGGCGTTTATGTAGGATTGAGAAAAGCCATCCTAAGTCTATATGAAATGCAGAAAAATGTCAGGATGTGCAACCATACATCAAAAGAATTCTCAACAGATCAAGGAATCAAACAGGGATGCAGCCTTAGCACCCTCTTGTTTATACTAGGGCTGGACTCTGCCCTAAAACAAGCAAATAAAAAAGGAGTCCATACCACCTCGGATATAGGAACCTACAACGCATCCAGTGTACAGTGCTTGCTTTTGCTGACGATATGGTGGTATTCGGAAATGACTGCCTTAATTTGCAGTTTAACCTCAAGATCTTTCAAGCTGAGTTGAGGAATATAAACATGGAAATTAACATCTCCAAAACAAAATTTATAAAGGGGAAAACAAGAAGAGATTGAATTAGGAATGTGACCATAAGAGCTAATCTGGAGCTGAGGCCTGCAGAGGAAATAATCCAAGAAAACCAACTTAAATGGGCTCAAAATAGAGTTGCCAGGGCTACCTATGAGGTCAAAGTGGAGGGAAGGCGGCCACAGGGGAGAAGGAATTAAAGAAGCCTTTGACAGGAGAGGAATGGACTGGAGTAGAAGACAGCTAGCCCGGCATAGAGATTCTTGGATCAAGCTCTATAAGAAACCTCACACTGCTCAGCGGTAACAAAGATGACTGGATTAAGTAAGTAAGTAAAATATTTTTATTGATTCATTAAGTACGCATGATAGGATTATGTATGAAATAACACAAGGGGCAAATGGCCTCCACAGCTATGCTGACACATAAGCACTCTTTTGTTGAAATTTCCTATGACCATTTTGCACAAATGTGGCTGAATTTCCTCCTTCAACGCATATGTGCTTGTGGGCTTGTAGCTCGAGACCATAGATGGGGAATATTTTTATCATTAGAGGGCGCAGTAAGGTTAGACAGTGCTAATGGAGGCTGCTATATTTCTTTATATTTTACCATTGCTATTTTTATTTACCAGGGTCAATCCATTTGAAATCAATATAAATTAATTTTGTGACTTGACATTTTTGATCTTTATAATTTTTTTACCACTTATTCCATATTTATTTGAGAATTATAAAAAATATTAAAGCTCACAGTTTTTTCTTGGAGGCCATTTTTAATTTCCTTTTTGACTGAAAACATGTTTTGGAAAAATGGCTGTAACTCTGGTTGTTTTGTAGATATCAAGCCAAAATAAAAACTAAAATAATTTAGAGTATTTTTTCTACATTTCTGTTGCTCAATACATAACCTAAAAAGAAGAAAGCGGTTTGAAAAAATCATGAAAAAGACTAAAAAAAAGGGACATTTAGGGCTGCTAAAGTGTATTAAGGAAAAGAGCCTCAACTTTAATTTTTTGTTGATATGTAGCCCTACCACTGTACTGTGCTTCTTACAGATTAAATTTCAATTTTGAAAACCTTGTACTTTTTTAAATACGAATTTTCAAAAGTCGTTTTCGCCGATTTTTGATGTTATATATCACAAAAGGGACTGAGTGAAAAATTATAAAATTGATACAGTTTATACCTCTTAATGATAGGAATGTGTGATACAAATTTGATCATTGGGATTTAACTGGTTCTATTAGTTATAGCACAACAAATATAGCTGCCTAGTGCGAGTCGGTTTCAGCTTATCCTATCTACTCTAACTACGGCATTTTTGCAGATATCAAAACAAAATAAAAGTAAAAATTATTATTGTTTTACTCTACATTTTTTGTCCTCACAATATATCTCATAAGTAGTGAGAAAAGTTGTTAAAAAAATTGACAACTGTAAAATTAAAATTAACATAAAACGAGAAATTTAGCACAGCAATACTATAATGATGATAATGAAAAGACTCAACTTTAACTTTGTTTTCGTATGTAGTGTATTCATTGTACTAAATCCTGATGAAATTTTAATCTTGAAAACATTGTCCTTTTTTAGTTATGAATTTTTAAAAACAGCCAGGTCATTTTCGGCAAAATTTGAATTTGGATATCATAGAAGGGACTGAGTGGAAAATTATGAAACTTGTACATTTTATAACACTTTATAATAAGAACATATGGACCAAATTTGATGATAGATTTAATCGGCTCCAGTTATATCTTATCAAATATGTCTGGGAATTTGCTTTTTTTAAACCATAAATCAGCATCTTACAATATGAAATCAAGACATTCCATTGAATTCTAGTTTATCATTACACAAATTCTATAGTGGGTACATAAGTTTTCGCTGGAGTGACAGCTACTATCACATTAACGGATATATGTAAGCACCTCAACATTAAACTGTCACCTTAACAACTGTATTTGTGATTGGGAGAAATACTGTTTTACAAATCGACTTGAGAGTTTTTGAAAATTCCTATTTTAGGTGATGTATTGATCAACAGAAATGTAGAAAAAATACTCTAAATTATTTCAGTTTTTTTTTTAGCTTGATATTTACAAAACAACCAGAGTTACAGGCATTTTTCCAAATTATGCTTTCAATCCAAAAGAAAATGAAACATGGCTGCTGAGAAAAAACTGTGATTTACATTTTGTTTTAATCCGGTTTTGAACTCTCAAAAAATATGGAATAACTGGTAAAAAATTTATAAAAATCGAAAATATCAAGCAACATGGTCTGGGTGATTTCAAATGGATTAACCTATCACTAAATACACGCCACCCACATAACTTAGTTTCAAAACTATCCTAACTTAAATAATTAAATATTAATCGATTCTAGCACTATATTTTGCATAAGAAAATTTGGAGAGTACATAAGGCCATAAAAAGAAATCCAATAGTGTTAAATCACACAATCTAGATGCTCAATTCATGTCACAGAAACAAAAGAGTACACATCCAAGAAATGCCTCATGGAGTAATTGAATTGTTTCAGGGGCTGTATGACATGTGGCACCATTTTCGATATTGACAGATTTAACTGCTTGTTTTTGGAAGACCAGTATGTTTAACATCACCAATTGATCCAGTTTACTTGATGTTTTTAATCATTCTCTTCACAGTTGACGTTAAATCAATGTTCCGACCATATTTTGTATACTTTTCAAAACTGTGGCCGCAAAGACTTTCCTTTTTTTTTTTAAATATTGTTCAACAATGAAAAAAACTTTATTCACTCATATAATGCTCCATTTTTACTAATTCTAAACTATCAGCTGTTAAATTAACAAAGAAAAAGAAAACAAAAGTAGAAAGAATTGTTTTATATTTAATTTAAATCTCGCGTTAATTTTGGAACATTAATTTACTTATATCTTTTTAAAATTATTATAGATAGTTATACCAATCTGAATTATGTAATACTACATTGTCATTATAAACTAGTTCACATTTCTCGAAAGAAAAAAAACTTTAAGATCAATGGAAACTGGTAAGATAGAAATAACATGAGGCAGGATTTTCAGATGAGTTGAATTTACTAAAGGGTTAACAAATATTGGATGGGATAAATAAACAGAATAACATCATCAATTTTTTATTAATAATAATAATAATTTGTTTAAAAACTGTAACAGTACCAATAATGACATATACAGAGGTGTTCCTCAATTACGAACAGGTAATGAGCGAGATATCAACGTCTCTCACATACATACTATTTACATTCAGAGCAACTAAACTAAACAAGGAAACGAACTTATACAACCAATCCCTAGAAGAAATAGGGGTGTATAAAAATATTTTATAAAAAATGAATAAACATCTTCAGATTAGTTTGTTTAAGTTTTTCATTATCTTTATAATTTACAATTCTTTTGAGTTTATACACAGTATGTACTTAAAATATATATATATATTATGTATATATCAAGGTAATGAAAAAAAAAATTGTCAAAACTGTACATCATCTATATAAATTAAAATAAGTGCAGTTATTTTCTCCTATCAAATTAGGAGTTTTTTTTTTAATTAAAAAAGGGAACTGCCTAAAAGTCTTACAACGGGAATTGCTATTTACAATGACCACCTTAAAGAAGGCACATCTATTGGAATGAAAATGTCGGCTGAGTCTTAGCCAGTTCCCTCACTACACGATCGCTATTGTACTCTGCCTTTGATCAAAAAGGCATTGTACACATCAGTCGTCCTTTTAGACAGGAAATCAAAAGAAACAAAACATATATAATAGCAACAATAATAAACAATAAGTCAGGCATAAATAATAATTAAAAAAAGAGGGAAAATGCAAATGATCTCTTTAAACAATATTTACACTAAACAGAGTAAGACGTAACTACTGAGGACTGAGTTTATCTTCCTCGTTCTCTCAGTGGGAAACTAACATCCAACTTAATGGGTGGTATCGACTCGTGGAGGTAGATTAAACCAAACACCATTCCTTGAACCTGGTGAAAAGATATATTTATTAATAGTAAACTCATAGTAAAAATCCATACATTAAAGTTTAAAACATTTACTTGACGTGATAAATATTCAGGAGGCAGTCTTTTTAAATTTTTTATTTATGCCAACGTTACAACCCAAACATGTGGGTCATCTTCAGGGTGTGGTTTGAGCACTGAGGGTGTTCAAACCACGCCTTGATGTTTGGGTTGAAACGCTGGCATAAATAAAAAAATTTAAAAAGACTGCGTCCTGAATATTTATCACCCATGTTATGTAGAACAGTCGACTGACTAACCTCCTTCAATAATTACATGACATGATATTAACATCAAAGTAAGAATTCCATTAATTGTCCTAAGGACGTTTAAGTAATAAACAACAAAAATTAGATGATATATATCATAAATAATACATAACAACAAGCAGATGAGTCCTTAAGTATAAACTAAAATAGACCATTTAAAATCTGTTAGGGTTATTAAAAATTAGGTTCAGGAATATAGTCAAAATATACAGGAAAAAACAATAATTTTTAACAACATTGCTAAGACATCTAATTTATTAACTAAAAAACACATAAAACATTTTAAAAAAAATTTGAGTAAGATGTCTACCAAATCTGGAAAAGTCGGGAAATTTTACAAACTAGAAGCATAAAAATTTGTTGATTTGATTTAGATTCACTGTTGGTCAACGAAATTTCAACCTTGGACTGGGCGAACTGGGTGCTTTCGTCAACCAGCCGAATGATTTCAGCTCCAATTTCCAGAAATTTTGACTCAGGGGCATCTAGCTGCTTATACCCTTGAATATAATATCTTTCTTTATAATTATTACTCTTCTATAAACAATTTTTGTACTAAAAAATATTATTATGCGTTATAATACCCCTAATATCTTTTTTCCTTTGGCTTTAAGATTTTAGACAAAATCTTATTTTAAATCCCTAATATCATTAAAAATAATAAATATTGATGTTAATCTACAATAGTTTAGATTAAGAGTGGATAGATACTCACAAGTTAAATAGAACTATAGTGAGTGGCAAAGTCAACTGTGCGCCTAGATAAGACTCAAATAAGCCTTGTATACATATGATAAATAATAATGTATACATATGATAAATAATAATTTTATTTTGTTTGTATAAATGATAATTTTCAAATAAATTAAATTTTAAGGTCTCCAGTATCATGAATTTATGATACTAAAATGCTAAACATTGCACCAATTATGTAGAGCTATTATTAATAAACATCAGTTTATAAAAAAATAAGTATTTCGATGACCTGGAATTTTTTTCAAACACGAACTAGAAAAAGGAACTGAAGTAAGGGAACTCCATGAAAAAATTATGGTAGAAAATTTAATATACAGACAAAGTGAGTACCTTATGTTTCAAATATAAATAATACCTAACCCTCACTAATATGAATCAAGTCATCTCCCTCACTCACTCATTTGTACAAATTCTAGCAGACTTACTTGAAATATTTGGTACTTTTACTAAAAAAAGTAGCATACAATTTATAAAGGATAAAAGGGAGATGAAAAACATATTTAATTCAATTTATATTAATGGGTGATAAATATTCAGGACGCAGTCTTTTTTTTTAATTTTTTATTTATGCCAACATTTCAACCTAAACATGTGGGTCATCTTCAGGACGTAGTTTGAGCACTGAAGATGACCCACATGTTTGGGTTGAAATGTTGGCATAAATAAAAAATTAAATTAATAAAAAAAAAAAAGACTGTGTCCTGAATATTTATCACCCATGATATATAGAACAGTCAACTTCTATAATTTATATAATGCACCTTCAATAATTTATATTAATATTAAAAAAAACAACCATGCACCTGTTTCCTCGCTAACGACACAGATTTAAGTTAAATCACATGAGCCATATAACCATGATTAATCAGTAAACATGCATTAATCATTAATGAAATTATGGTTAATGTTTGACGTTTTATGGAATTAATTCTTTCTGACTAACTTTTAACTAAATATTTCAAAGCCAAACTGGGACTCTATTTGGGAGTGATTAGGGGCATTTCTTTATTCTTCAGATAAAATAAATTTCAGAATAGAAACAATGAGTCCCTTAGCTTTAGCTTGAAATATTAGATTAAAGGTGTCAACTTACTTCAATTCCTAGATGTCAATGGTAGTCTAACCCATAGCTAACATTATAAGCCCGTAGAGGAGTCTAAATGCTGTCGGAAAACTGTAATGTCGCTGCTAGAAAAGGAAACACTTGCATTACTGCTGTATGCAAATACAAATGTAAAGTATTACCTTATTACTCCCAGACACGGGGAGAGTTCCTGTTGAAGTAATACCTTGGTTTAGACCTGTTTTCAAGGTAGTCGCGGTGATAAAATTTCTGCCTCTGACCTTGCCAGCCGTTGTTCTTCCAGTTTTGATATTCTTGAAACCTGTTACGATTCTTCCCACCATTATCTTTGTTGTGGTTATTAAATTTTTTTACCTTCTTAGCCTAGAAAAAAATATTTACCTGTTATTGTAATTAACTTTATATAAACAAACCTTTTTGGGCACAGTAAGTTAATACCATCACATTATAATTAATAAAGGAGGAAATTATTAAAAAATATAAGCTACCTTTCCTTTGTCGAAATCATCATTATAGTGGTCACGTTTTCTTTTAAGGTAGTTTCTTTCTCCTTCAACCTGCATATCCAATTCACTTCTTCCACCGCTCCATGAATTGACTATGGTATAAAAATTTAGTTAGAGTAACCAATCAGAAAAAAAATTAAACAATTAATTACATGACAAATAAAAATAATGAATGTTGTTGCATTTCTCAATCAAGATTTTATGCTCCAGTTTTGATGAAATGTTATATCAGATAATATTGTTTGTTTCTTCTTAAAGAGCTTTTCTCACAATACTCTTAAGGTCTATTTCAATCCATATCATTGCTCTTTGTACTCTGTCCATCGGTAACATGAAAATTCAGCTGAATAATGAGCATTAGATTTAGATTTTATAAAAGCCCTGCTAAATGAGTAGCTATAAAATATGTAGCCTCTAGCATTAAATGACTAGAACCGCTGAAGGCAGGATTTTTGACAATTAGTTCCCCGTTGTTTTAAAAAAGTACCGATTTTCAGAAGAAATGCACGACAAGCTAGGGAAAAACAGGAAGAGAATATACGATTTTAGGTGGCCACGTAGCTATTAGGCCAGGATATGAGTTTTATATTATTTTTTGTTGATTTTATAATGTTAAACTTTAATAATCACAAATAATTGTTAAGAACCGATTATTGAGAACTTCTTAGCAAAGTTCGCATTGTTGATCAGTTGTTAGGATTCTACCATCATTGTTTGGACTTAATGATAATTAACAACATGAAAATGATCTTTTTAATGAGGTGTCATTATTTAAAAAATATATTGATAAGGAAAAGTTTAAGCCTTGGGTATCAGGGAAAATTAACTTCATTTACTACTTTGATTACCAAAATGTCACCCTCAATAAGTTTTTCACATTATTAAAAAGAGCTACTTGATTGTGTACAAACTGCTGGCACAAAACATTTAAGTTTTAAAACTGTGTTATTATTGAAGTCATAAATTATATGTCAAATACATCATCAAATTGTTCGCTCTCAAAAAGAGACCTTTAGAACTAAATTCTCAACCTTATTTCAGCTAAATATTATGTCATCTGATTAACATTTGCATCACATTATCATTATGTAAATCATTAATTATTGCAACAACAAATTTGAACTATTGTTTGGAATTAATGAACCAATTTTGATTCATAAACCTCTCTCCCCACCCTTTCCTGGTCAATGGTGTCCCACTTTACCAATGCTAAAATCTGGTCACCTTACTCTAGCAAGACGGAAAGCTGCTTCAAAAGACTTAATTAATAGTGTAGTTAATGACTTAGTTATTCTATTTGCTTCTTTAAAAAAGCAATGATACTAAAGAACGAGTACTAAAAATATAAGACCAAGCGTTACTTAACATAATAAAGTAATACATGATACAGATGTTAAGATGGAGGGAACTATTACTATACAATAGTAAAAATTTTAGTTAAAAAAAAAGAAAATAAAATAAAGCAAATACCTTGGGCACCATATCCCCTGTGGGAGCCCTTCATTAGGTGTTCCATCGTGGAGCTGCTGCCCCTGCTCCCATCCCACCTCTCCTTCCTTCCAGCGCTCCCGTTGCCATTTGTGTTAGCTTCAGCCTTCATTGGTGACTGCGACTTTTCTTGTCTGTCGGGCGTCTTTTCTTTTTCAGCACTAGAAAAATAAAACCGATATTGAGAAACAAAGAGCAAATATATAAATCTCACAGCATCTAGTAATATTAAAGTGATAATCATGAATATCATTTTTGTTTTAAGTTTATTTATTATTCATTTTACCTATTTTTACCATTATTGAATTTTTAATAAAGATTCAGACAGACAGAATTGTTCAACCCTTCTAAGATACCCGAGGCTATTTGAAAGCTACAAGAGAACATTGATTGCATCAACAAATTGGTAGAAATAAATTAAAAGAAGCTGAATGCAGAAAAAAAAACAGGATTATCCTCATTAGTTCTAAACACGTTTCTTATTCTCCTCTGCTTTACCTCAATAACCATTGTGTCCATTTTCTTCCTAAGTCATTTCTTTGATCAGAACCTCTCCTGGAATAATCATACTTTCCAGATTCCTCATAATCCATAACTGTCCATAAACAACTCCTATGGTTTTGTGATTCTATTCCTCAAAAGACCACACGCACAGCCCCTTGTATCCTCCATTCCATTGGTTTCTCCTCCTCCTTGGTATATCAGACTGTCTGCAATGCTGATGATGAGATAGAAGAGACTTATCAATTGTTTTGTAAGATTTATCTTTGTGATTCTCAGCCAGTTTCATGTTTCCTGCTGGTACAACACATTGTAGTAGTGTACCAGAAAAATCTTCTCAGAACCAAAAAACTTCCCCACATTCTAACACTCCTTTTACTCCACGTTCCTCTATTCACTATCTAAATACTAGATATCAACCTATTGATTTATATATAATAAAACTATTTCCTTCAGAAAATTCTTAGTCCTTCGTGCTAACCTCCTTTTGAAACTCCTTCCCTATCTCCATAACTTTCAACTCTTGTCCACAAATTCCTTCAAACAACCCCAATTCCACCACCTAATTTATATTCAAACTACTACAACAACATAAGAATTATTTGTTTCAGTAATTAAAATTGCTATTAACAATTAATTAACAAGTACTCATTTCCAGTTCTTCATGCCAGACTAATATGCATGATTTTAGTCATTATTTTGAGTGGACTTTAATATCCTAGCGATCTGAGATAGTGGAGAAGATAGTAGAGACACAAATATATCACCGTGGACAGTGATTAAATACCACTGAGACAAATAATGTTCTGTGTGCTTGAGACATAAAAATTTAATTTAAAACATTTAGAATAATTTTTTTTAATTTAAAAAATTTATTTTCGGATTAAACTACTCTTCTGATGAAGAATATAGTTATATAAAGACTTTCATAAGTTTTTAAAAAGGGAATTACCTAGTTACACTCCATTTGCCTGATGAGGTACTTCCAGCGGGAGAATGTAGTTCTGGTCGAGAACCTAAATGGGAACTGTTAGAGACAGAATCCCAGCCTTCTACTTCAATTCTAACTCCTTTCACTTTCTGCTGAACTGATATCGTCTTTTCGACATTCTTACCTAATTATAAGGAAACAAAAATTTAATTGCACAAAAATAAAATCAATATGGTAACTTTATTTTACACAAAATAAAAAGAAAAGAGCAACTTACATTTTGTTGGATCCTTTGATGGACTTGATTTGGGAGGTATGAACTCTATTTCACTATCACTTGATTCTGAAAGATATGGGACGAGGCTTAAGCTCGGGCTTGATTTACGTTCATCTTCCGAGCTGCTAAACATTTTCTCTTCTGCTTTCCGATCAGGTATGCTTGGAAGAGGAATGCTGTCAATACAGTTATCTTCTTTAGAAGGTGTTCTTAAACAAAAAAAAATCAGTAAGTTGAAGCTTTAACTTCAAGAGTTAAATTTTAGTTTTTATTTGATGAATTTCCCAAAAATTTGACAAACATAATTATGCTTTATTACTCAAAATATACTTTAAGATAACTACAAAATATCTTAGGACAATCATTTCTATTCTATAAAATTATTTCTTCTGTTTCATCAGCCGTGGGGTGACCCTGAGGTCAGGAGACCCTCCGGGACCATACCCAGGCTCTATAAAGTAGGTACCTTATTTAAACAATTAAATAAGAGGAAAACCTGGCGGTTGAGTGTGATCTCAGTCAAATCAATTCCTTGCACAACTGTTGACTTAGAAGCACTACTTTCCCTAAATAGTATTGACCCAATACCCTTCATGGGTTATAGCGGTACAGATCTTTTTTCCTAACACAACAGTATACTATACCTAGCAAGACAAGCTAATTTCTTAATCCCGACAAAAACAATGTAGTTTTTGGTATATTTGAGCGAGTTGACCCTCTGGTGACCTTTCTGCATTGACACCATACAAATTTGTACATAGAAATTTGAGTCAAACAGATGAATAAAAATTGTTTGTCTTAAATACAATATAAGTTTACACAAATTCTTGTAACAAGAACTAGATGATTTAGCCACTCTCCCAGTTTGTGTTGATCTTGTCTTAACGAGTCTACTCTTTGTGTCTGCTGGTTTGGTCAGATATTACAGGTCTGTCTACTGGCTGCTTCCAACCATTGAAACTTCCGGTGTGATAATTTTGAGTTGTGCTTTTTTCATAATTACACATAAATAAAAATACCTGACCTTATTCTTATAAATTGATTGCTTAATTCAAAATTGCTAAATGCATAGGTATTTGTCTGATGTACTGGCATCCATAAAAACCCGAATTTTAAAGTCGTCGAATATAGGTATATGAATTAATACTTTACTCATTAATCATTAATGGATTGTTAATACTCCTCCAAAATATAAATTTTATTCCATAAAAAATAGTTGAATATCAATTAAAAACATAAATCTGCTTAACAGACTTACTTTTCAGAGTTGGACGTATGACTTGATTGTTGTTTAGTTGGTGTGGGTGATCGGTCAACCTTTTTAGCTGGAGAGGATTTGTCCCTCCCAACTTGTTTATCTACCGTTGTGGTAACCAGTGTTTCCTTCCGCTGTGGAATAAATTTAGGGAAGTTGATCTGAAATACAAAAAGGAAAATGAAAGATCATTTCCTATTTGGTTTGATACACAAATTTATTAAAATATCAATTAGCAATATTCTAATCAATCATTAGTATGATGAAAGCATATTTTAGCTTTATATCAAAAAGCCAATAAGTATATTTTTGGTGAAGCTAAACTTTTAAATATATTTTTGTGAATTTCAACCTTTAATCAATGAATGTATTGTAAATACATAAAAATAATCCAAATCCTTTAACACATCAAAAAGTCAGACAAAGGGTACAGTTCTGATTTCACAAAGAGAATTATCATCAAAGTATTAAATGATTTTAATCTTATGAAATGTTACTTAATGACGTTTTGGAATAAATCCAGATATTATTTCCATATATATTGAGCCCTTTTTGGTAATCTATAATTTTTATCAGAAAGAATATTCTGAAGATCAAATAAAGTTATACATACAGAATAAAAAATCACATGATAAAATATATAAAATGTAATTATCATCAAAAAGAGTCCAATGAAGTTTTTGTATTAAATTCACTGAAATTTCATCTTTCTTGGGGTGAACATGACTCCTAAATAAGTTTCAATAAGTTCGATTAAGTGTCAAAGAAAATGTTGGCATAAAAATATGATTTTGATTTTACAAGAATTTACAGTATCAAATCATGAATCAATCATCTTATTAAAACATCAATGACTGTGGACATCATTAAAACACCAGTGGCTGACGGTACTTAGTTGAGGTCTCAATGTAGCTGACGGAACTTAGTGGAGGTCTCAATGTAGCTGACGGAACTTAGTTGAGGTCTCAATGTGGCCGACGGAACTTAGTGGAGGTCTCAATGTGGCCGACCGAACATAGTGGAGGTCTCAATGTGGCCCAAGGGACAAAAAGTTTGGAGACCCCAGTTCTATATGTAATTAAAGACTCTTAAAAGAAATAATGAGGAATAAATAAAAATAATAACATGCTATTTACAATTACTAACACTAAGTACCTATCTCTTGAGTTTCTGTATTTTATCCCAATTTACTTACTTGATATTTTCAGTACCATTAAAAAAATGGAACAGATCACAAACCTTGTTAGAAGATTGACCCTGCTGTTGCTGAAGGACCTGCGAACAACAGAGAGAGGAGTTGGCCTGTACATTTTCTCCCCTTGGCTTTCCAAAGAGAACCACCTTCCCGCTGGGCCTGAACGGCAGTTGGAGGCTGAGACCATTCTGCTGGACAGGCTTCACCTCAGCAGGTGAGGCAGTTGTAGGGCTAGTGGTGGTGGTAGCGCCAGCCGTCGCCGTACTGCTGTTCGGCTCGCTCATCTTAGCGTCTGTGCTGCTGCTACTATCAACCTTGTTGCTCAAGAAACCTATGGTCAAAACTTCAAATTAGCTGATTGATAATCTATGCATTTACTAAATTAAAGTCAAGATATTTAAATTTTGATTATTCATTCAAATAATAGGAAATTACAAAAACCCACTGAATCAAGACAACAACATTGTTTAAAAGACTATTTCATTGTACTTGTGTGAAAGAAGAAGTAAAATATAAAAATATTTCATGGATATGTTTATAACCTTACATAATTTCATAAACTACATACTGTAGTTTAAACTCTAGATATGATATTATATTTAAATAATTAGGTATCTATCAGCCATTTATTCCAAAAAATCATCAAGTAACCTTTTAGAAAATTAAATAAGTGAATAATTTGATGAATTTTCCCTTTGTGAAATCCCAACATTATCCACTTACAATTAGTGCGACAACTTTTGACCTATCCAAGGCAAGCAATGAAAATCTTGTAATTTCGTTTTAGTAAACTTTACAATAGAAAATAACAGTTTAATGACAAATATTTCTACAATCCATAATCATTTATAGGTTAAATATTCAGATGTACTTTCAAATTTCTCTAGGCATATATGAGCCTTTCGGTTGACAGAATGACTTACTCCAATTTCAATATTCTTAATTATTAATTTTAGTGATGTTTCTAGCGGTAGAATTTATTCACAGTTCTATATTTTAACATTGTAATCCCCTACTCTGGAATCAACTTACTCACTGTCTTTACAAATATAACTTTTCTAACTAGAAATATCACTAAAATGACATCAATCAAAAATGTTGAAATTGGAGTTAGGTCTTTCTGTCAACTGAAAGGCTCAGAGACTGAAGTTATGTGGTTTATAAAAGCAGATGGAGTAACTAGATTTTTATTTCCTAACGTCAATTTAATAATAAATATTAGTAATTTTAATGGGCTTAATGATTTGTTATATCTAAGCTTTAAGCTTTAGCTTCATTTAAAATGCACTTCAAAAATTTTATAATAGCCCAACACTGCCATGAAATGATTTCTATTCAAAGTAGAGCGGTAAGTGAAAGTTGTATGTTGCGCGCACCAGATTTTTTTTATTGTAGTTGATGTAAAATTGCATGCTTCTTGGCAATATTCTTTTTGTAAGTATGACCAATTTTACATTTTGTAAGATCATTAATAATTAATGTGATTATAGAGGTACATTGAGTGTGTGTATATATATATTTTTTTTTACACTTATGTAAATAAGAAAATATTAAAAATGTTGACATTGAATGCTTCGCAGAATTTCGGCTAGAACCAGAAGAAAGAAAAAAAAAAAAAAAATTCCGAGTGTTTAGTAATCAATAAACTATTCTCATTAAACCATTAACAAGGTAATTTATAAAAAAAAAATTAATTAAATATTAACTAAGTTCAAGGAATGTGACAAAATAACCTATGGGCCTCACAAATCTGACAACGGGACAAGAATCAGATGATTACTTACATTATGCCTTACTAGATCATTCAATGAAGTTATTTCTTGCTAGAGATCAAAATGTGGTTCCTAGTTCGCACTAACGGAATTATTTCATTAAAACAAAGGTGCAATGGTAAAATCAATGAATTTTTCTAGGGAATTCGATTTTGCTTCACTCTAATGAGGACTTTGTTATACCGGAATTCGTGGTAAAGAGGATTTACTATAATGACATTTCAAAAGTTTTTAATTTGTTCTTAAAGGCAATTAACACTGTTTGCTTAAATAAGATAAGTTGCCATGGAAATTAATCTAAAAAGTGTTCAGATATTTTTACAGTTAAGACATACTCATGCATACAAAAAATAAATATAAAAGTCAAAATTTACCATTAGCTGAATTGGTGAAACCATTCGAAACTTCTTTCTTTTGCACTGCTTGTTTTTGGGTTTCAGTTTCCATTTCATACATCAAAATGTAAGCATTAGTGTTGAGAACACTTTGTATCGACATCGGCCGAACCTTCAAAATAGAAAGAAAGATATAAGTTACTTAAAAATCATAGCATCACAAATAATAAAACTAATGATTTCATAACCAATTACTTACAAGACTATCATCAAACAGATAATAGGACCCATAAGCAGTCTGACCAACAGCGGTATAATGACCGCAAGATGATGATGTTCCCAGATGTGTGACTAAAGAAACAAGTTTATACTTCAAAAATTCTGGAGTCGGTCTGTGCCTATACTTGTTGATATCTAAGTGCTGTTTTACACTGATTGGTTTGCTGTTTTTTCCACCTGTTACACCAAATCTGCGACAAAACAAAAATGATATTCCATTTATATTATTGGATCAAAAATAAAAAAATTATATTTAAAAAATAAAACAAAATGTATACCTTTTCAACGCTATACAAAGAGCTTTTGGTGGCCTTTCTATCGAAAATTTCTTAGTAGCAGCAACTTTCCTTTTGCACTGCTCACACCTGTATCCATGTTCACCATCTCCAAGCCTCTCACGAGAGAAGTAAGAATCCAGAGCATCCTCAACAGACGATGCGTTCCTGATATCCAGTAGGAGATCTTGAAAGTGCTGGAATGTAGTTGAGACATGCTGACACTCGAGGCAGGTCACTAAAGAAAATAATTACCACAAATGAAATTATTTTTTGATATATGATATTAAACTAAACACAAAAATTAGATAACCAAGAATGTATTCAGATATATTATTTAAATTGCAATGTTTCTTCTGAATTTGAAACAATGATCATTAAACAGTTATTTCTTTGTACTGTTGATGAGATAATACAATAACTTAAAAATTATTTAGAAGTTCTTATATAAATAATATAATTGTCCGGAAAACAAAGCTACATATTCTATAAATTGCATTAGCCGAATTCAATAGAATTTAAAAGCTGGTCTCATATAGCAAAGAGAAGAACAACTATTCAGTTAAGAAAAAATAGAATGAATAACGTTTTGATTGGTTCAAACAAAATTTTATTAAACATCAGGAGAAAGATATGAGTTTTAACAAAAATGTCTGCACTTATTACATCATTAAGTTGCAGGTAGATTATTTCAAGCTCCAAATCAGGAAAAATTTAGGTTTGTAATTTTAAATGATGGTTAGTGAAATAATAAATGTTTTATTTACAGTTTCAAAATGCATCATTAAGATAATTTCTGATGCTATACATCCTTACAATCAAACAATTTTAAATTGAATTCATAAAATTATCACTACATATAAGTGAAAAAAAACTTTAAGTTGAGTTTGAAAACAATAAATAAGAAGCCAACACAAGAATTAAATGTACTCTAATGGTATTTTTTGATTTAAAGGAAAAATTAAACCCTCCAAATAATTTCAATTTTCTTTACTGGTTGTCTTTCTAAACAATAAATAAATGAACATTATCATTTATTAAAAATAAATGGGTTATTATGTAAGTTTGGGGTATCAGAGATTCGGGGTTTCAGAAGTAATAGCGTTTCCTAATATATATTCCAGTTTGTGTTGAAATTTATGTTCCACAAATTATTGAGTTGTGACAAGTTCCAAGTCTTATAAAAACATTCATAAAAATCATCACTAACCCAAGTAATGCACCATTCATAAATAATAAACGTTTCTTCATGAATGGTTCATTACTTTGGTTAGTGATGATTCCCATGAATGTTTTTTATAATAAATAAACAAGTTGAACTTTATTAGTGTGAGGGATAAGTAATCTGAACTTGAAGGACAGCTTGATGTGTTTGCCTTATCAATTAAAATATGGGAAGATTATGTAAATGGTTTTTTTTTTAACTTCCTTTTTTTGGAGGAGACTACAATGCTAAACACCAACGATGGGGTTGTCGAACATTTAACTCCCGCGGTAACATCCTATCACGTGTCTCGTCTTCCAACAATTATTTAATCCTTTCGCCCATGAATCCTACTTATTGGCCAACATTCCTCAAAAAACGTCCCGATATCCTAGATATATTTATAACTTCCCAGATCTCCTTCTCACAAACCAGAATCAAATCTAATAATGTAATTGAAATTGAGGATGGAGTACAGGCATTTTAGGATGAGCTTTTCCAGGATTTTGCAAAGGATGAGAAAAAGGGAGAAAGAGCGATAGGAGGATTTTGGTTTATGTATCATTTTGATAATGGATACTTTCCAAGGGCAAGGAAAATATGTCGATCGCAGTACAGCATTATATATATAAGTAAGGAATAGGATGGCTTTCCGAGGAAGCAGTTTTAGGATCTGGGATGTAATTAGGTTGTGTCCAGGAACTTTTCGGGAAGATAACCTTTGAATGATATTAAATATTTCTGAAGGATGAAAGGCTTTAGGTGGAAGAGACATTTGAAGTGGGATATCCAGTTCTGCTTCAATACATTCAAGGTAATTTGGGTTAAGAATATCGGGGTGTGTGTTAAAGATTTTAAAGAGGTGGTGAGGAAAGATATGTGATTTTTCTTCGTTGGATTTGGACCAGGTTTCAGTAAGAAGTGCATGATTACAGTCTTTAAATTCAGGAGCCTTTTAGTGGTCGTCCATAGTGATTTGTCGGTAGGTATAAGTTTTTCAGTAAAATTTATTAAATTTTGAATTTTGTATTTTCTAATTTCAGTCCGTTAGTCAGTTGGGTGTAATGAGTTTTATCTGTAGGATATCTGGTTCTATGGCAATTCAATCTCTACGTTTTTCCTTCAATAAGATACGAATATGCTGTGGCAAGCTGGTCTTTTGTAAATTTTTAATCTCACTGATAAAGGTGTTATTAATTATACTGACTGTTATTGATGTTATAAGATTTTCAATGGCATCACTAATGTCCTCTTTTATCTTTAGTGGAATTTTTAAGTCTATTTTGTTTTCCAAATCATCACAAAATTTGTCTCAGTTTACTCGTACTGTAATCAATTTAGAAGGTGATGGTTTAGGAGCATAGCTTGAATGTAGCGAAAGTAGAACTAGACTATGGTCTGAAGAAAGCTCATCACGGGATTTCTTCAGACGATAGTCTATAGTTCTACTTTCACTACATTCAAGCTATGCTCCTAAACCATCACTTTTTAAATTGGTTACAGAATGAGTAAACTGAGACAAATTTTGTGATGATTTGGAAAACAAACTAGACATAAAAATTCCACTAAAGACAAAAGAGGACATTAATAAAACTAAGTGTCAAAACTGGAGGATTAAAATAAATTCCGATAAATCTCATCAAATCACCTTTACTCTTCATCGTAAACCTATGTCCTTCTGTCCTACAGTATCCTTTATTAATACCCCACTTATCCCTATTGAACAAATCCGATACCTTGGAATCCACTTAGACAAATGTCTAACTTGGAACCCTCATACCAGACTGAAACCGCTCGACGTTTTCGACTACTCCAGCACTTACTAGACAAATGCCCTAAGCTTCCAGTCAATTACAAAAGACTCATAATACATGACTACAATAAGACCTATTTGGACTTACGGAGTTGAGCTCTGGGGCTCCACTAAGCCATTGAATTCCTCTCGTATCCAATCCTTACAATCCAAAATCCTTCGTAAAATCCTCACTGCTCCTTACTTAGTCACAAATAAAATCATCCATAACGACCTTAATGTTCCTCATGTTTCTTAACTGACCCAATCCAGATACCTATCCTTCCATAACAAACTGCAGAACCATCCAAACCCTCTTGTTTCTAACCTTGCTTCATCTTTAATCTCTGACAACCCTCCTAGGCGCCTGAAAAGAAGATGGCCTCAAGATCTCCTTTTGTAAATACATTTTTAGAGTGCTACCAGTGGGTAGTTTCTCAACAAGTGGTTTCATGTTATTATATTATTTTGTTCACATTTACTGAATGTATTTTTATTTGTAATACATTTGTAAATATCATCAATAAAAAAAAATAAATAAAAAAAAATTTCTTTTTGTAGGTTCAAATGATAAAACAGTTACTTTTTGTTTCAAAGAAGAAACTTTCGGTGAGACTTCGTAAAAATTTAATCAATTCTCATCATATTATTGTCCCCAGGCCAACAAGAGTTCAAAAATGTTTAACAATTTCAATTTTTTCCAACTAATACAGATTCTGACATAACCATTTAATTTATAATAAACAATCGTAATTTGTAGGTCTATGATATAATAGTTAATATTTTCTTATTGAGCGTGTTTTAATTAGAGGGTTAAATTATCTGATTGTATTGCCATCGACCTATCAAAGAATGTTGATGAAAAGATGATGCAATAGATCCCTTGATGTACTGATTTAGTTTGATTAATTTACTGACAATTTCATATGGATATTATAAATCAGATTAACACTAATTCAATTTAGCTATGCCAAAACTTTTACCAATCTGTGTCTTTAAGAACGAATGTAATTACTTTTTGGATAAATAATAAATACAGAAGAATCGTGATAAAAAAAATGAGTGTTGTGAGCCAAGTAGAGATATGATAAGGTAATGAATTGGGATAAATTATATATATTTAATAAATCTTAATGTTAAATAATATTTTTTTAGTAAGAGTTTAATTGATAATATTATATCCGAAAAATTGGTATGTATGTTGATTCAAAACGGCTGTGTAGTTTTAGTTGATTATTGATTGGTGTATTAAAGGATGGCTACCAGAAAATTAAAGTGAAATTCTTTGACTTTTCCCTATTTAATGATAGCTTTCCCCGACCAATAAATAAATCTGGAGACTCAAATATTAATAATGTATAATGTTTAAATAACTTCTCTTCAAGATATCTACGACAGTCAACTATCAATCCGCTATTATAACTAAATTTATTTATTATAGATGAATGAAAATTGACTAAAAAATGATGAGTAAAAAACATTGTCTTTTAAATAAAAAAATATTATGTTTTAGAGGTAGCATTAGGATTTTTTATTTTGGAAAACTAAGCTTTTAATAATTTATTTTTATCACCCTTATTTTATTTTCAAAAACTAAGAGAAAGTTTAATTAACAATGAAATTATCGCTAAATCAAACTATTTACTTTATTACTCTTGAAACAGATGGAAAATATAAAATACCAAAAATACTAGTATAATAAAATAATCATTTAAATATTTATTCCCATAGTTTTTGAAATACAGCTTTTAGAAAAAAATGATCGGCTATAGCAAAAGTCAGCTCTTAAACAAGACGATATCTAAACAATATCAACGATATTTATTTCCAATTTGAAAAAATTCCCTGACTTCTCCCTTAACTTACGTTTTGCAAATTCCCTATACTAAGGGTACTGAGATCATGAAAATTTTCGAATCCGAGTTTTCAACGGAAGTACACGTTTTAAGTTCTCCAGAACCTAAACAACCAAGTTCCGAAAAATGGTATGTGTGTGCTGACAGTCTAGCTCAAAAATGAAAAGTCACACAAAAGTGAAATTGCAAACGGCCAACTGGAAGTGGTTTTGTATATCATCAATTTAACACATTTAAATGATTTTCTCGAAAACAGCTCTAACAAACAATTTTCTTCAATTCACTTAACAATCTTTTTATCAATTATAATCTATCGAACCATAAAACAACAAAAATTAAATTTATAACAAGTGTTTGAGAATCTCATTAAGTTATAAGTGCTTTTA